TAACAATTAAGTCAATGTCCTAGTACAAAAGATAATTTATAATCCTTTGAGACAAATATTACAGCATGCTCATAAATACAACTATAAGAATATTCCCAAGAACATACATGAACCCCTACAAAAATTTCTTAACATTTCAAAATGCCATACTATTAGTAAGCAAAAGCAAAAGCTAAAATACTCCAAAACCTACAAAGGGAAGATACGTTAATGTTTTGCATGTAAAATAGTGTTATTGAAACAAAACATAGAGAATTCATTTGTTATAGATATAATAGAAATAGATTTAAAAAAAAAAAGCTTTTCCCATGAGAAAAAAAGTTTATCCATTAAAATTATACTTTAGTGTATAAATTCTAATATTGATATATATAATATTAATTGATAGTAAAAAGGCTTTTCTTATAATTTACCTATATAGTAAGAGAAATTTTGTCTCATAAAAAATAAAAAAGCTAAGTCAACATAATATCACAAAATAAAGATCACAAGAGACGAAAAGTGACTCTTATTTTCAATTCTCATAAAATTGTATCATTTTTATAAAAGCACATGTAAACTTAGAAAATATGCACCAAAACCCAACTAGAGATACCAAAACAACAAAGTGTTAATTCAAAATATTTAATTGATTTTAATTAATATTTCACGTAGCCTAAAACTCTTCTGCCCCATTTAAAATACACCCAAGGTTCCTAATTTGTTCTTAACAATAACACACTAACAAAATTTGACACTTGCATGCAAACTTATAGGTCAACATACCAAAAAAGAACAAACAAACACTAATATGAACCCCAGGATGAGCACCTTGAACTCAGAACATACAAGACTTATTGAGTCAACACCTAAATTCAAAGAATTAAGAGCAAAAAACCATGCCTCAAATCTGAACCATTAGAACTGAGTTATTTGGATAATTTAATTACACCACATCATTCTCAAATGTTTCCTTGCATAGACAAAAAAGTTAGCAGCAACATTTGCTTATATTGCCAAAAAAAATAAAAGAAAGAAAAGAAAGCAACAACTTTCTAACAATATAACAAGTTAACTTAGGATAGCAATCTACCTCAACTTGAGGGCCTACTGACCCAGCCCTTCCTTGGATAGAACTGATTTTACTTAAAATAGATATTTATTTGCATGATGGATGAAAGGGTTGAATATAGCGTTATTTCAAGATAGAAGTAAGGCACTCATATCTCATGTTTATATTTTAAATTTCCATACAATAGGAACTCATATATGTGCAAGAACTATATAGTTCAACAACATCTATTTTCTACTTTTGTGATACTAATCCCATTAGCCAAAAGTTTTAAGATTAGAAATAGCCGCCACTACAAGTTGTCATCAAAAATTTGCTTAAATTACAAGAAAACAATCAATTTATCATCCTTAGCCATGAATGCCAAGACTAGGCTCTTGAACTAGAATGAACAAATTGGGAAGAAAAACATAAGCAGAAAAAGATTAAACATAAATTGGAAATGCTGGAGACTCATAATTTTGACCTGAATGCAAGTTTCAGTAAATGCTATTGGATGTTTTTTGTTTTTGATTATGTGCTTCAAATGTGTTAAAATCCATGTGTAAATATCTCTCTCTAGAAAGGAAAAAAAGTTTTTTTTTCTCTTGGCATTTATTTTTTTACATTGCTTTTTTGCTTAAACTTGAGAGGTTTTCTTTTACACTTACTGGAGTAAGGGCACCAAGCATGCATAAGTTCAAATTTGCCTCTTCCACATATACAAAGTTTTATTAGCAGCCTTGTTTAAGTTATTGTATCTTGCATGATCGTGACAGCTATTGGTGGATGATGCAAAATATATAGGTTCTAAAATGTTTATTGCAGTTGATGGACTACTCCCACCTTTTAGATTAAGCAGACAAATGTGAAGATCCCTACATGCAATTGGTTATGCTAATAAGCAGGTGAATGTGAAGATCCCTACATACACTTGGAGTATGCTAATGCAATTTATAAATAGTATCAAAGAATTAATACCATTTTTACAAGTTATGAGTTAATTTTGAGTTAATTTATATAGTTTTAAAATGATATGACAATTTAACATTTTGCTATATATATCATTCCATCAAATTAAAAAGAAAATGATATTTTAAAATTCTAGCACATTGTAATAACAAAATTATTTGACATAAAACATGCATGTCAAAAACCATGTAATAAAATATAAGAGAGGTGAGATGTAACCAAATGCTCTGTATTAATGCATACTACACAACCGTATAACTATTCCACATATTAGTTTTAATAGCTAAGCTGACATAGACAAGTCTTGTATGTGGTTTTTAGAAAGTAGATCCTATGACATAGGTCATTATTTTTTGTGTCCTAATCCTACCAAATATTAAAATGGAGGAAGCATCATCATGAACATGCCTTTGCCAAACTGTTATTTGTGTTGAGGAATGAGTTCTGATTGCTCCAAATTAATCAAAGCAATAGGAATCCAAGTGTTCAACAACCACTTGGATGAAGAAGATAATTTCAAACCAAATGGCCAAATAAAGATGCCAGTTATAGCATAAAAATGAACTTTTGCTTGCATCAAATCAAACATTTTACCATAAAAAGAGTTGGAATTTGTAGTTATATTCACTTGTCTTATAGCGAAAGAATTAAATTCTAAAATAATCCAAAACACCAAACACTCTTTAATATTACATAGCAGGAATGTGAAATAATTATATATGTATCCTTATTGCTAAAATAGTGAAAAAGAAAGATAATAGCAAGGCCCCGAGGGTGAAAAAAAAAAAAAGAAAGGATGTAATAACTTAACAAGAAACAGGAAGGTGATTTTTCAAAAATTCTCTAAAATGTAAACTTCTTCTTAAACTTGTATGTCCCACTAGCTATGTTCATTAAAAAAAAAAAAAAACACTACTACCTTTTGGCCAGCAAACCTTGCTTTCAGTTCTTTGATGGAATCTTGGACATGAAAGAGGTCAAGGGCTTGAATAAATTGATCAAAATCTATGCCAATAGGAAACTGTAGTTCAAGAGCACAAAGGAAAGAAAATCAGTTGCAAGCTATGAAGAATTCAGGGTTAGTAAAGAGGCATAACATAAAAAAGAATGAAGGAAACAGTAAAAATATAAAATAGGACATCCTATGGTCAAAGTAAAAGGAAATCCACTTTTGGTTCAAAAAGAATAGAGAGATTATTTTAAATTTGAATTCTAGCACAGGCCTTCCGGGAAGGGGGTAAAAACAAAGAAATAGTGAGCCACATACAGCTTCATCCTCATCAAAGTAGGCCTTGTTTTTCAATTTTCAACAAAAGTTCTAACCAACTCCACAAGGTTAATTGATATAGACTATACAACAACAGAAAATGACCGTGTAGTCAACCGTCCCGCTTATACTCAAAGTAGCTACCATAGCTTGTTTATCACCTCTTTGTCTTTCTTCTGCAATCTCCTTCTTTATTTCTTAAGAGAAAGGAAATCTAGCTTGACTCGTCTTGGCTAGATTTAGCTATTCTAATGGAAGAAAGGGAGTAAAACATTTAAGATTTTGTTGTCTGTCTTTCTAATTTCCAATTGAAGGGGAAAAAGGTGCTCTGTAACAATCATAGAAATGTAAAAAAAAATACTTCATTAAAAATATATATTGACATGTATATAGTTACAACTTAAAACAATATTAGATCGATCAACACAAACAGAGTGTGTGTGTGTGTGTGTGTGTATAAACCAAAACACAAAATAATAATTAAGAGGTAAAGAAAAGTGCGAAAATGCAATAGCAACCCCAACAGACAAGGCTAACTGCAACTGGGAGACTACAATGCTTGAAAAAGCCCCACTGCTAGGTGGTCCTTTTGGAATCAATCCTTCTGCTTTGTGATTTGACTATGTGTAGGAAAATTTGTCAGAATAACAAAAGAAGAAAAAAATCATATATATGATATCAAACCACAAAACATAGAATTTACCTGGGGAAGGTGCTGGGCTTGGTGTGAGGCTAATAGGATAGCCGGCCGCTGCAGAGATATACAGCAGAAAAGATAACATGTTATTAATCACAACTAACAAAGAAAAACCTATAGTCTAATGGGCTTAACAAGTTTGCCTTTTGTAATGGCTTAACAAGTTTGTGATTCTTGAAACCATGGTTTAAATAATGTCACAAATCATATTTAAAGCATAAAATTTAATCTATTAGGGAATTTCATTGTCAAAAATAAAATATAGTACTGGATTCAGCTCAAGTCAACTGAGCCTTTTCCCAACTTTATATAATCAATTACATGGGTCCTAATTAGCCACTTGGCGCTATCCAACTGAGAATGATCTTGTGTACAGCTAGTGGCAGAAAAACATTTATATCAAGTTAAGTACATTATCCTGAAAGGTAACAGTGGCTCAGGAAATAATGTTCCCTAGGGTTGGGATAATAATTTTCCGGCACTCCAGCTACGAAAAGAATTGGAATCCATTGTAGTAGAACACCATTTTGTTGCCTTTGTTTAACGTCTTGCTGATTGGTTAAACAAATTGTAATAAAAAAAAAAAGAATATAAGATGCTATTGTGTGACTGTGTCACATTGAAACGTGAACTTCCTATTCATGATCTATGCCATCACGAGTTTGGAGTAAGGGTGAGCTAATGCTATCATGGGTAAGCTAATGCTATCATGAGTTGTAGATTGAGCTGGACTATTGGAGTAAGAGTACTGTAGCATTGGGCATGATACTTACATTTAGTTTCTCTGTTTATGCGCTATTCATATCTGAAGTGAATGTTGCTTCTACATTTGGTTTCTTTCCATTATAGGCATTTTGTGTCACCTTCTCAATGAGTTGATGAGTTATGTTGACACAACCTGCATGGAAATCTTCGAAAAAAACATAAAACCATCATTTTAGAGCAAAACATTTACAGATTAGATTCATTGCAAGTCATACATAAAAGATGCTGCTATTTATACATTAGATTTAATAACTTGTATTGTACTCTAGGCACTCACGCTTGCGCTAAAGTCTAAGGTCTGTAATCATTTCTCTGCTTCACATTTTGCACCTACACATGAAGCGCACTTCATTATCTTACTTGACCTCGTGCTCTCTATGCTTGAGTTCACACAATGAAAATTTGTGCTCTCATGTTGGCAGAGGTCTAATTTTGTAGAAATCTGTCCTTATGTTCTCATGCCAACATTAGAGGCAGATTCTACTTTCACATTTGCATCTCCGTGCATAACAAAGGACATCTAATAGGTTAGGCCTTTAGAATCTGGAAAAATAAATGATTCCAAGTTTCAAAAGGGATCATATCATGGAGTGAGCTTTATAAGACATCTGGAAACTTGTAGTTTAGATTTGTCATTGTGTTTGACAACTCATTAGGACATGTATATTTTTCATTTGGAGTAGTATTTGGATTAGTTTTTTGGAAATCAAATCTGCATAAATTGGATCTCTAGTAAGGTTCCCTGGTAAGGTCAATCTTTTTTGTGTTTTTTATTTTGAAAAATTTCAGGAGCATGCAAAAATATATATGTTTGATGTGCTGTGTTTTAAAATTAAACATTTTGAAAATGATTTCAAAAGTATGTGTAAGATGAGTCAAAAAGGTACTTTTACACTTGCCAATGAAAACTTACTAAGGTACATGAATGGAAGAAATATGCAAGCATCTTCCCTAAAATCTTTCTCAGGGAGAAGAAATGTACCCTGTTGTTGTGAAAGGAAAAGGGAAACATGTAACAAGCAGATGACTCTTTGGTTCTTAGTAGCCTCCCTCCTTGTCATCTTTTGACTTCCATTAGTAGTTTTGTAAATACACATTCATGTTCTTGTTAAACTGTGGCTATGGACAAGTTTGCTATGACACTATTACTAGATCTCTTTCATAAGCAAATATAATTTTTTTCTTATTCTTTTGACTGGATCTCTAATCATTGTACTCTTAGATCATAGCTTTCAATTATTGGGTAAAAAATGCAACTTCGCCTTAGCTAAGGAAAGGTGCCTAGTTAACATAGTAATGAAGACATTAGCAATAAGTACAGTTCTAATTTATAGCTGAAAAGGTCTTGTAATGATCCATTGATAACATTAATTTGGTCAGAAGTATTAGAATTGGTAGCTCACGGAATGCCGCAAAGTGGTGCAAGAATTTAGGTCATCATAATGCAGGTCTAACATGGTTTTCAAAAGATAGACAGGAGGATAGAATTTTGGATGAAAATATGAGATTTATATATCAAGTCAAGCTAAGAAGGAACAACTACATTCTGATGATGAGCCAAATGAGGGAGAAAGTAATCTCCAGTCCCCAATTTGCTGTATTATGAGTCATGTTGATATCAGTAAAACCAAGTTGCTTGATTGTATCTGAGGCACAAATGTTCGGGAAGGTGAAGCTGGAGGGATTACCTAGCAAATTGGTGCCACATATATTCCTGCACAGAATATAAGAGACAGAGCAAAAGAACTTAAAGTTGATGTAAAATTGAAGGTCCCAGGTCTATTAGTTATTGATACCCCTCGACATCAGCCATTCACTAACTTAAGGTCTTGGGGCTCAGGTTTGTGTGACATTGCAATTTTGGTCGTTGACATAATGTGTGGTTTAGAATCACAGACCATTGAATCAATCAATCTTTTGAAAATGAGGGATACAGAATTTATTGTCGTGGTGAATAAGGTTGAGATACCTCTTTCATTATTATCCTTGGAATACATAGATTGCTTTTGATTTTAATATTGTCATCTTTATTTTGTTCCTTTGTTTCATGCTTGTAGGGGGACAGACTTTATGGGGGGAAAACTTGACGGAATGCACCAATTGTCAATGCCCTGAACCAACAATCTAAAGATGTCCGACTACAATTCTTCGTGAGGCTTGCTCAGGTCAGCTATTTTCCAGTCTCTCTCAGGATGTTGTAATTATTTTGCATTTTGTAGGATTCATTTTAATTTGTTATGTTGATTTTTCAGGTTATTAAACAGTTTAGGAAATAAGGATTAAACGCTAGACTATAATATAAAAGCAAATAAATTGGTGAAATTTACAACATTGTACCTACAAGTGCAATCAGGTAAATATCATTGACTTATGATATGTCATGCTAGTTAGGTCTATTGTTTTTTTTTTTTTTTTTTTGTTGCATATCCAACAAAATCAGATATTTCCTATCCAATGTTATGATATATTGGATTTGTGGATGGAATAGTGGTGAATGCATTCCTGATTTATTGTTATGGTTAGTTTAGTGGACTCAGAAGACTATGGTTGAGAGACTTACTTATAGTAATGAAATACAGGTATAACCATCTTGCATGCCTCTTGTTTGTTCTCAGTGCACATTTAAACAAAAAATTGGGCATATTTGTGATAGCTATTTGAGGAGTTAATTCAACTGACTAGTTTAAAAATGTTATTGGTGGTCTAGACTCTGGACTAACAAAGTGTAAAGTGTATTAATGCATCTTAGGTATTGAAAAATTGAAAAGCATTCTTCCTTTGAATTTACTGGATGTGATATAGCCTAATTTTCATATGCCAATGGAAATTTTGCTTAATAAGCTCATATAACTTGTTAGATAAATGTTGCTTTACTTTGGGAGGATACAAATTTTAAGAGGAATGAATTTTCAATTTAACAGCTTGGTGATTGTGAAAATATTAAAAGTGTATTACTTAACTTGCCTTGAGAGATCATGAGTATCTGACTTACTAATCTCTTGTCTCATTTTTCTTGGGCAAGGTCTTAGAGTTGGTGTAAACATGGCTATTGCCATTGCTTTGCACAATATCCCAGAGGTGTGTAAATGACTACAATTTCATCTTCGTCATAATACCTGTGTTAATTTGGATTTTCCATTGCATATCATATTGTGCTTCTAGCATAACTAAAGACAGGTTCATTGCTTATCAACAAAAATAATTGTGCACCTCTCTCTATATTTGTGTATGCATGCTTTGGTCTTAAGCCGTCCAACTCCTTAGAAAATGTAGAAACACAAACCATGCTAGGCATTTTTTACTTGCTCTTTATTAGCATGTTTGGAATTACTTAACACCTGTATCCAAATGTATAATGTGGGAGGGTTGTCATGTTTGAATTTACTTCAAAAATTTACAATTATTTAGACTTTTACTAATGGGATTACTTGCTTGAGTGATTGCCTTGTTAGTCTTCTACTTTATCTTTCTTAATCGATTTTTCTTTTCTATTCAATGCATTTTTTAATACTTATTTCTACTTGTTTTTCAGCTTATATTTCTTTGAAATAAGTATGCCTAAAGATTTGAGCTTGTAGCTTTGGGTGGTGCAATTGTTAGCTTTCATGACATTTTTGCATTGACATTTTTGTATCAAAACCTTGATCATTTTGTATCAACATTTTTGTTTTCTTTTGCTATGAAAGATCATCTAAACGTGATTAGAATGTTTGATTCTAAGCAAATTATTAAGATACACTTTGGTCACGGGCTACCATTTCGTTGTAATTAGTTGTAGTTTATTATTTTTTTTTGTTGACTGTGTTAACCCATCTTTTAAATAGTTGTGGGTGTTGATCTAGAGATGTTTTTTTAATTTGGAGCTGCTATAGATTTTCAAATTACAAGTCATTGTTAACATTTAGATCTTCCAAATGCAAAGCTTAGATAGAATTTAATAAATAGAATTAATTTTTGATAATAATTATTCAAGGTTAAGTTTAGATTACTATTAAATCAAATTGAGAAATCCTAGTTATCCATTTATTTTATTTACTTAATTCTTTCATTTTCATAATTATCAAACTAAATTGAGATATCAAATTAATATTGAGCCTCGGTTTGGTTAAACTTTTATTTAGTTAATATTTTAGAAATTAAACTCAAATATTATTTTTGAAGAAATTCATTAAATGGGAAAATTATAATGTTGCTTATTTTACAAAAATCTTATTAAAAGTCCAATTATCTATTTCATTGATCCATTTAATTGATTCTTTCAAATTCTTTATCATGTTTATTTGTACTTTTGCATTTTATTATCTTATGATTTAAATTTCTACTTATTTTATTATTTTATTCTTCAAAGTTCTGCTCATTAATTTTTTTTAATTTATTTACTCTTTACTTTCTTATTTAAAAACCAAAAAAAAAAAGAGAGAATTTGAAACCCTTTTATTCTTTTTAAAATTTTTCTATTGTTTGTAGGTTAGATAATTATTTTGAATTAAGAGTTTTAAAAAGGTTAAAAACAATGACTTTGAAATTTGTGCACTTGCAAGTAAATATATTTAAAATGATTATATCAAGGTTAGGATCTAAAATTTAGTTGGATTTTATTAACTAATTAAATGAACAATATTAATCAAGTTTTTATAATTAATTAAATGAATCATATTAATTAAATTAGAAGAAAAATCAATTTATTTAAGGTAACGAGTTTTATGTTATAATAAAAAAAATTTTTGAACAAAAATTGTCCATGTTACAAAAAGAAGAAAAATTTTCGTAACGAGATTTTAACTTATGTAACAAGTTTTTATTTTGTAATATAAAAGCTTATCTATTATAACGATATTTATTTAAAGTAACAAAATTATTTATTAAAAATAGATCTTTTTGTATCAAAATCTACAATTTTGTTACAGTAACTCATTTTATCGTGACAAATTTTAATTTCTTACAAAAATTATCGTTATCATATGTGCAATTTTTTTTAGTGACTTCTTCTTTTGTTGTTATAAACTCCTAGGTTATGTAATTTTTCTATTCCTTCCAATGAATTAAAACATTCTTCTAATTTTCTAACTTCGTCATATAATACTATTAATAATGCTTATGTTGTTTTCTCTAATTTGATTATGCTAAGGTGTTTACATTTACATATTCCTTCTTCCTAGTTACAATTTTCATTGCTAGTGTCTAAATATTCTATTGAACTTATTATTTCAAAAATTTCTATGTCTGAATTATATTCTTCACTAATACTTTTATTTGTGTCAATTAATATTTTCATTATCTGGTCTTTAATCTCATTATCTAGAGTTAATTCTTTAATTTTCCTTTCTATTTTACATTCATTACTATAGTGTCTATATTTTCCACATTTATAACATTTTACATTTCTTTTTTTTCTTAGAATATTTTGGATATTTTTTATATTCCTTTTCTTCGTTATCTTTCGAATATTTCTTCTTTCTATAATTTTTCTTATAATATTTTTTAGGATTTCTATTTTTTCTTCTAGATGGTGCAACTATTTTCTCGTATTCATATTGTTCACAAAATTCTCCTAATTCTTTTCTATTAGTTTTTCTTTCTGATTTCAATTTTGCTCTTAATTTCAAGTCAGTACATAATACTACTCCTTCACTATTTACTACTGCTGCTAGTTGTTCATAAGTTAAATATTGCCAAGGTGTGTTTTCATCATAAATTTCTCTAAACCTTTGTCTAACTTTTTCTCCAAACAATCTAAGAAATCTTGTTATAAATCTTTCTTTCCAATAAGCTATATTACAATCTGTTCTAGTCATAACTTTTGCTATGAAAACATTTCTATACCGTCTAAAATCTTTTAAAGAGGGAAGATTTAAAATGGCTAATATTTCAGTGGTATTTTTTCTTGGAATATTTCTGGGTCTCCTACATAATGTTTGATTATTGCATAAATTAGAGTATTAATAGCATCGAATTCTTCAATATTTCTAGAGGTTCCTTCGTATGTGATTGCTTGCTTTATTTTTGTCTTGCTAAGTATCATATGTGTATCTGCAGTTGCTAAATAATTTTTCCACAAATTTCTAAAACATCCATTAAATCTATAAGTTATTGTTTTTGCTGTGTTACTCATTGTCAATTAATTTGAATTTTATTGACCAAGCATTTCTGCACATGTTGCTATAATTTAATGTTCACTAAGTCCATCTATATTCCAGATTGCTAAACTATCTCCATAATACTGCTTAGTTTCTCTTATAAATTTTTTTTCATATTGCATATCAGGAAATGACGGTCTAGGATAATAATTTTTCGTATTTCCATATTTCACATAATCATTTCTAATTTTTATTCTTTCTAATTGGTTTGCTAAATTTTCTTCACTGTCACTTTCTCATTCAGAGGTCTCTTTATTTATTACATCTAAATTTACTAAATCTAATTTTTCTAGTCTTTTTTGCACCTTTTCTAAGATTTCTAGGTCATATATATTGGGTAATTTAAATTCTTCTTTTCCTAAATCAAGGGATTTTACTAATAGTTGTGATAATTCTATTGTTTCTTTCTCTTTTCCTTTTTCCTTATCAATTTTAGGTTGCCATTTCTTTATTTCTTCGTGTCTTACTAATGATTCCACTTGCTCTCCTAACTTATGTAACATTATGTTTGAGTAATTATTTTGTTCATATATTTTCATAACATCTTCTAAAACTGTTATACTATTTCCATCTTCTTTTATACATGTTTTAAAAGGGTTGCTTTGATTGCATAATCATCTACTTTGACTTCTTTTCTTTTTAACTGGGAGTATTTGGAATTTTCTCTAGTTGGTCATCTAGGTAACTACTTTCATCTTGCTAGAAAAACCAATCAAAAAAGAAAATATTATCCTTAAAATATACTTCTAATTTGTAATAATATATTTTCTTAATTAATTCCCTTTCTTCATTATTATACTTGCTAAAATAATCTTTTCTATATTGTCTATTTTTCTCACTCATAAATTCATTTCTAATATATTCTTTATCTATTTCAAATTTTCTAGATATTGTATTAATTCCTAGATATGATTCAGGGGGAAGTACATTAAACCTAGTTGGGATATAGATTCACTAGATTTGTTGTCTTCATTTACTATATTTGGGATTTCTGGTTTAAAATCTACTCCTTTAAATTTCAATAAATTGCTAGTGTTTAATCTAGACATTTCAAAATCTTCTTTCAAACTGCATGTTCCTTCTAGATTTTTATAAATTCTAGATCCAAATTTAATGCTAACATTTCCATCTTTATCTTTGGTTATTTCCGGATTATTTTTAAGTGTTCTTGTTCTTTCCATTGGTGGTACTTCATTTTCAAATTTCTATTCTCCATTATTTACTGTTTCTTCCCATTTCAATTTTTGTGGGGGTATATCTTGATGTATTTTGAGGATTGTGTTCTAATAATAATGTTTGATTTCTAAGTGAACTTCTAAGTGCTCCAAGATTAATTGTTGCTTTCATTAATTTATAATACATTCTATAAATTATTGCCATAGGTCTAGTTTCATCTTTCAAATGTAAATTTTTCATTTGAGCTTTCATGGCTAAGGCATCTA